TGTCTATCATTTGTTTTGAGTTGTCTTTCATTTGTTTTGAGTTATATGTCATTTGTTTTGAGTTGTCTGTAAGAACTTTATAATTGTCTGTGATGTTATAAATACATGCTTTGAGTTGTTTCCCCAATTTTGTTCCTAATGTATACACGTGCCCCTCGGGCTTTCTTGTTATAATACTTTGAATCATTAGAGACTAAAATTATAGGAAGACCATACTAAGATTTTGAAACTATGATTCTAAGGTTTCAATATAAGACAAATGTTTATCAGTTTATGATCTCATAAAAATATTGGGGTCCACCCTCCTAATCAAATTCGGGAATACTCCAAGGCTTAAAAATATTAGCAAGCATCAACCATGGACCATATTTATGTCATTAAAATGGATCATGTAGGTATTTAAGCATATTCTTGTTTCGTGCTAAACATAGTATTCATTTGTCTGTCATTCATATTTCCTTGTTTGTCCTTTGTCTTGAGCTGTCTGTAAGGACTTTATAAATGTTTGTGATGTTATAGATAGATGTATGTCGTTCTTATTGCCTTGTTTGTTTGAAATAAACAATGGAGCAAGATTTTACTTAAGTTAAAACGGCTTCGCTATTCTAATACATGACCACAATCTACTCAAACAAATGAAAATGATGGGCTTTATTTTAGTATGTCACTATCTCTGCTCTTGACAACATTATAGATGATGCTGATTGGAAATATATATGTATATCTGTAAAATGAATGGATTTATGGAGTGTGAAAGTTTAACTCTTTCCACTTCTCTACTTACTAAGAGTTATTTTTCAATTTTCTAGACAAAAAAAACGCATAGCTAGGAGGTCAAGGAGCCAAACCGGCAAAGGTTTCCTAGAAATGGAAGTGAGTCATTAAATAGCATCAAATGCAGAGGACAAAGATAAAACAACAACTGGTGTATGAAGCCAAACAAGTTCTAAACCATGAAAGTGCACCACCTCCTGTAAGTCAATGCATTTTAGTTATATATTTTTTTTATAGTCATCCTGCTATGTGTTTTAATTGTTGTTAATATTTACAGTTGGAACCTGCGGTGTAGAAAATGATGAAATAAAGATGGGAACCTCCAATGAAGGAAATGGTGAATGAGGGGCATAATAAAGGAGGACTATCAACGACTTTATGTCATTTTAAACTCATTGTTCTCTCGATAGACGATTGTTGTTTGGATACATACAAATTGACTTGTGTATAAATAAATTTCCTTGACATAGATAACATATCCGGATGCTTCATCTTCTTACAAGTTTGTGTGTGCACTAATGTATATCCTTTATTTATTACAAACAAGATATGAAATGTGTGGATAATATGCCAAGTAGAATTATACGTGGACAAGATATGAAATGTCTGTACACAGACAATAGTCATTTAAACGGGCTAATTAGCAAATTAGAGTCAACCAGACAGTATTTGTCTATTCCGTCATTTCGTGTCTGGGCAAGACAAAAGAGATAGGTCTGAGAGCCAATATTTGTCTGTGCCAGACATTTCGTGTATGTACCTGGCAAAAGAGTTATGTGTAACAGACAATATTTGTCTGTGCCAGACATTTTGTGTCTGGGGTGGCAAAAAAAGTTAGGTCAGACAGACAATATTTGTCTGTGCCAGACATTTCGTGTCTGGTCCTAGCAAAAGAGTTATGTGTAACGGACAATATTTGTCTATGCCAAATGTTTCATATTTGGTTCTCGCAAAGGAGTTCTATTTAACACACAATATTTGTCTGTCGGGCAGAAGCAGTTGTTTGTCTGGACTCTGGCAGCATGAATTGTGTTTTTCTAGCAGTGAGTTATCTGTCTCGCAGAATGAAATGTCTTTCATACAGACAAATAGGTGGCCAATACAGACATTTCAATGGCTATTGTTCACAATATTTCATATCTTGTTCACACATAATTATACTTACGATCTTTAGATGCTCTTCAACCAACGTATACCAAAATGAGTATAAGTTTACAAATTATTCAACCAGCTTACAACATGTCCTTGGCCAAAATTCAAAATCATTTTCCGGGTAACTCTAAAAACACTATTGTTATAAATACAAGAACATTAACTATACAATACAAATAATTATAAAAAATGAAATATTTAGTCATCATTTGCTATAAATTTTATTCTTGACTTTTGTCACGGAGGCTCGTCATCTTTGCCATGCAAAAAGCCTGAATAGTTGTCGACTCTTGGAGGTTTCAATCTTTGCTCGAGGTTTCAATCTTTATTTTACCATTTTCTTCACTGGAGGTTCCAAACTGTAAAGAATCAACAAAAATTTAAAAACAAATAGTCAAATAGTAAGAGGACTATATATAAGAATTTAACTAAAATGCATAGAATTGTTTTCCAACTTCAAAACTCATTTTCTTTTGTTTGCTTTCTACACATAAACTTAAAATGCCAGAGAAATATGGTGAGAATAGCAGAAAGTGAAAACGTAAAAACAGAATTTCGCAAAAATTTACAACCAATCAAAGGCAATCAGATACGAAGAAATGAAGTCATGGACAACAATTCTAACCTTTTTCATTCCCATTGTCTCCCTTTTTATTTTAAATAATATAGCGGTAAATACACATCACAATTTACAATGATCATCCAAGCTACAAAATCATCTCTATCAATCATTTATTTGTAGAAAAAAAGAATACAAAATACTAGATGAAGAGAGGCGAGAGCAATGTATGATCTGCATCGCAAAGAAAATGCTGACCAAATTATTTGTTGGAAGGCACTTGCTAAATGACATTCTCAACTGCCTTGAATAAATTTAGTCCAAATAAATTCTAACTTTCAAAAATGTGATTAGAGAGACCAGTCAATAGAATAACTTTCTAGACACACTCCCTATACACTTGACCTTCACCAACGCAAGGCAAAAAATTGTGGGTTGTCCGGTTATGGCGATTCAGTGGGACTAGGGCTTTGAGAGATGAGGAGAGAAACAAGAAAACAACCCAAACGAGAAACACCTTAATAGAATTTAAAAGCAAATATTTCAATAACAAAATGAGGAAATTCATAATAGTCAAATAAAATAGCCAAAAAAATTAACAAAAGGAGGATCGAAAAACATGAATATTAATAAAACATTCATTGAATCATTTCAACAAACACCTCATGGGCATACAAGTGAAATGGGTAGTTGAATAAAAATTTGGAAAATAAACATCACAAATCTATGACAATATAGAAGTTCAACATTATAACATATACGCATTCTTTTTTTTAGACATAAAATCCAAAAATGAAAAACAAATATATTCCTAAAGCACAAAAAACGGAATAATATATTACCTCATGAACAAGGCAAAAATGTAGGGTTGAAATTCACAGTTGACAAAAGTGATTGCTCATGTTTTTCTATACCAATTGAGATTCACAGTTGACCATCTTAATCATGGTCATCCACCTTGATTCGAGCCGGAACATCACCGTTCATGCTGGAGTTGGTCTTCGAGCTTTAGTTATCCGAGTGAATAGTGCAAGTTTTGTGAAGTGGGTGAAGATGAGTATAGTGATGGAATGGAATGAGGTGGGCATGAAGCCAATTGACGAAAGAAAAGGGTTTGGGAAGGGAGATGAGAGAGAAACGAAAAAGGAAGATGAGAAAAGAAAGAAGAAACACTGGAGGGTTAATGAGCGGTAAAAAATAGGGTATTTATAGCATGTATAAATGGTGTACAATTTTGTGTACCTAACAAGGTTGTTAAAATCGCGATTTGAATCGTAAAATCGTACGATTTTACGATTCAAAATCACTAAAACGATTCAAATCGTTTACAAAATCGGAATTAATAAAAATCGTAAAAAAATCGTTAGGAAATCGCAAAAATCGTTTGAAATCGCGAGTATATACGATTTCGCGAATTTGAAAATTTGACTAAACCACATTCGAAAACCGGCCGAATTACTCAGGCCAGTTGGCAAGTAGAGGTACTAGCTGCCTGCTTTGAGTGTTGCCGACTCGACAATTATATAGGCAAGGGAGGAGGCAAATTCCCTAATCTATTCCGGTGTGGGATCATTGAAAGAACAAACAATTTTTTTAAAACTAAAAACCATCGATGCCGGGTTTCGTACTTCATTCAAACCATTATTGCACAAACTCACCATTTCACCAATAACAATTTTGTTATTTTATCTGACTATTATTAGTGTTTTACTTAATCAATATTCCACAAAACAAATATACTTATACTTTTCTTGTCTTGCTATTGCTATTCATATACGGAGCACTCATTGTGAAAATAAATTCAAACATCATTTTTATTTTTGTGTGACTTTTATTCTTAGAACACATAATATTATTTTGTTATTAATTATTTTTGTAAGCTTAAGTTAACACTACGTACATCATTGTGAGACTTAAACTCATAATAATTTGACATAATCATATTAAATTATGATTTTTCTTTTGACTAATATTTTTAATAATTTTTATTTAATTATTTTGTAAAATCTTACGATTTACGATTCGATTCTACGATTCGATTTTTAAACCTTTGTACCGATTCGATCAAAAAATACGATTTTAACAACCTTGGTACCTAACGCATCATTCTTTTCATAAATATATTTACGGAATACTTGGAATACTTGCAAATGGCTGGCTCATAATTTATCTTCGTCAATGCGCTAAAAATGGCAACCGATGAACATCAAGTAGGCCCTAATGAGCACTCTTTCGTTTCGTGTTTAATTGTTATCGTTTTCACAAGGAATGCTTCTTTTACTATTCTTGACAAATGTATAAGTTTTACCGATGATTCATAATTATATTGATTTCTTAAATTACATTTTAACATCAAATGATCATTTTATTTTCTTAGAGTGAAAATGAAGCACATTAATTCCTCCTATCACGGGTGCATGCACATACGTTGGACGGATCCCTCAGTGTTATTCTAGGTTTTTTTGGAGTATAAATAGACAATAGTCTTTATTTGAGAAAATAATTTGTTATGAGAATTAGCCCTACTAAAATCTGCCTATTCTATTTTATTTATTTATTTAGGCAATACTTACTTCATATTTGCTTAAACGTCTTGTGCTTGATTGCGACCTACAGTGATATTGTCTGCGTACTTGTGGATTTGGGGTTATCCATCCCCTTACTCTACAGTTAGTCCATACTTCAAAGTTTCTGTATATCATTCCATGTAGCATACATGGTGTTATTTTAAGGAAATAATATCATACCATTTACAGCTTCGAACCTGTTCGTCATTTCAGATGTTGGGGTTCATGATTCATTTATGTTCACCCATTTAATGTACAAACAACCCACTTAACCCACGAGATTTGCCCTTGTAGAGAGAGTTGCATCCTTTCTTAGTGTGTAATTTTTCTATACGAAGCATGATGTATGTCAATTTATAACTGGATTATTATGCATTGCAGGCTATGGATTTCTGGTTGAGTGGAATTGCTGACAATGGAGAAGGGATAGACATAATAAGTAGCTTACCAGATGAAGTTCTTGTTCACATACTTTCATTTCTTCCTACTAAGCATGCTGTGGGTACTAGTATTTTATCACACCGCTGGCAATATCTTTTTACCGGAGTAACCAAGCTTGACTTTGATGAATCACTCATGTTTCGCCACAATGGCAACCACAGTTACCCTCGGCTTAAGGCATCATGTACCTTCAAGGATTTTGTGGACAGGGTTCTGCCACTTTGCAAATCCCCTCGTATTAGCAAATTCCGCCTTAAATGCGAATATGGATTTGACTGTTCAAACCTTAATGCATGGATCACCTTCGCATTATATTAGAGTTATTATTATTATTATTATTATTATTATTATTATTATTATTATTATTATTATATTATGTTGTATTATTTAGACACTCTTTCGTATATCTTTTCTTTTGACAGACATGGCTGCATTATTAGTAGCTATTAAGTCTTTGTCTACTGTGTATTTGTCAAAATGTAAGCTAGTAGGACCCTTTCATTATTGTCCATGTACTATGCATTGTAATATATAGTTGGCTCTTTGAGCCCGTGAAAATATACGAACTCATTGTGTCATATGACGAATGATATACTTCCGCATACTTTTATATTTTAACATGGTATCAGAGCCTCACTTTTCTTCTGTATTTTTTCTTTGAGCAATTTTATCTGTCAAATGGCTATTGGTGAGGACACTCCCTCTCCTAAAATGGATTACACATCTCCTTTCTTCCTAGGACCTCAAGATAAACCTGGAGATTTTATTACCCCAGTTCGTCTTACTGGAAATAATTACGAAGACTGGTCAACTTCTGTCCGACTTGCTCTTCGTGCTAGACGTAAATTTGGTTTCATCAACGGTGTCATCAAGGAGCCCTCACCTCCCTATACGGAAGAAGATTGGTTGACCATACATTCAATGTTAGTTTCATGGATTGTAAATACCATCTCGCCGGAGGTAAAAACTACTCTTTCTAAATTTGATGATGCTAAACTTTTGTGGGATGATCTGAAAGAACGTTTCTCACTTGTTGATGGTCCAAAAATTCATCAAGTTAAATCTGATATTTCTCATTGTGAACAATCTAAAACTCAAACGGTTGCCGCATATTATGGAAAATTGAAGGTGTTGTGGGATGAACTCAATAACTATGAACCTCTAATTAATTGTTCTTGTGGAAAATGCACGTGTAATGTGAAGTCCTTGCATGAACAACGTCGAGAATCGGAGCGATTTCATCAATTTTTGATGGGATTATCTTCAGATTTTTATGGACATGTTCGTTCACAGCTTCTCTCTCAAACACCCCTACCCACACTTAACCGAGCATTTCAACAAGTATCTCAAGAAGAGAGAGTACAAGGTATCATGCAAAATAAGGTTAAGGAGGTTCATCCAGAAATTATGGGGTTCGCTCTTCGTACGGATCCCCGTGGAAGAGTGAAAACAGAAAATAAAATTGATAAATCCCATTTATATTGCACTCATTGTAATACCCGAGGACATGAATTAACTCATTGCTTTGAGATTATTGGGTATCCTGAGTGGTGGGGTCCACGCCCCAAAAATGTTTCCCAATCTGCCAGAAGAGTTTTCACGAACAATTATGCTCTTTGTACACACAATTGCACCCACCCTATACACACTATAAAAGCCCCAAAAAAAATTACCCCCACTTTTCCCCTCCTCCCCTTTTCCCCTCACCTCACTCGCGTAACTCCCTCGCTCCCCCCCCCCCCTTCTTGAAAATCAAAACACCCGCCGCCCTTGAGAGTCGAAACTCCTCTCCCCCACCCATACTTGTCACCCATATCCCCACGAGCTCTCTGCGTTTGAGGTGTGAACCGGCATCCATCTCCGGAAGCTCACTCGCTCCCCCCCCTTTCGCAGTAACTTTTCTCAAATTGGGACATTCGAAGCCCTGTCCAAGCGTTTAGAGGTTTGAAGCGAGGAGGCCCCATCCTCGCGCACGTGTTTAGGACGACGAAGCTCAGCAATTGTGCGAACCCCACTGTCAGAGATGGTGGAGTAGTATGTATCATTTCCCAACCTTTGTTTGTTTTTAGGTTTTTTTTTTTATTTCTTGGGTTTTTAGCAATCTTTGAACATGGAACTGTGGGCTGGTTTATACACTGAATATGTGAAGTATTGTGTCTGAATCAACACTTATGTGTGATATGGTATGCTTCCTTTGTTGATGTGTATAAGGTGTGTGTGTGTGGTGGTGAAATCTTCATTAGGCGTTAATTGTTGTCTATGAATGAAATTGTGTTTGTGATATAATATATTTGTTTTGTTTTATGTTTATAACTTGCTTGTGTGGTGGTGTAAAGTAAATTTGTTGTTAATTATTGTCTGTGAATCAAATAATGTACATTTGGAGTTCATAAGTTGGCTGTGTAGTGGTGTGGTTCATTTGGAGTGTTAGTAATTGTCTGTGAATGAAATTGTGTCTATTACAGCGTAGTTCCTTTGTCTATGTTTATAAGTTATGTGTGTGCTGGTGTAAGTTTTATGTGGGGTGTTATTTTATGTTTGACATTTCTGTTTGTCCAACTGGCAGTCCGCTAAAGTTACGCATTCCGAGTCACGACTATTTCCCCGCGCAGTACTCTGTGTGTTCAGACTTTAGGAATGCAGCGGACTGGGTAAAAAAGAGGTTAACTGAAAGACAAAGGGAAGTGTTTAGGGATTTACCATGGGGGCATCTGATTGACATCCCAGAGACAGACAATTCTGGGCAAATATTGCACATGTTGGCCTTACACCTAGTGAAGGAGCAACCGGATGATGAGCTCTGGTTTGCCATTGGGGATACACTGTATAAGTTTACTTATGTGGACTTTTGCTACATAAGTGGATTACCAAACGGTGTTGAACCAGAACCTGAGGCAGCTGGGGATGAAGATTCTGAACAGGATGTTGGACATGATTCAGGACACGAATCTGGCGAAGAAGCTGAACCAGTAGGGGCCCTTGCTCAGAAATATTTTGGTGGCAAAGTTGACATTACTCACGTCACTTTGAAGAATAGATTTAAGAAACTGAGGTTTTCCACACGTGCTGATTCGATGGATGCTGTGAAGTTGGCCTCGTTGTACTACATTGAGTGCGTTTTGCTAGCAAAGGACAACACTACGAGGATAAATGCTTCATCAATCAGACTGGTGAATGATTTAGAGGAGTTCAAGAAGTGTCCGTGGTCACTTCGTTCATACAAGATATTAGTGAAGCATATGAAGGACCTGATGCATGACCAACCTCAGAAGTTCAAGGACAAAAAGCAGGGCAATCCTAAATATAAGAATGCAAAGTTATCATTATACGGTTTTCCACTAGTTTTGCAGGCATATATGACAACTTCCCTATTCTACTTATTTATTTATTTATTTATATATAGGAGATAAATATATATTACTATGGATTGAATAACTATGGATATTAATTACATGTTAAATTTAAACATAGTTATATTTGACATTTAGTTTGTGTTTATTCTTATTTGGTATATATATACGGTTTTCCACATAGTTATTCTTAAATTTAAACTATAACTATATATATACATTTAGTTGCATATATATAACTATATATATACATTTAGGTTGTGTTTATTCTTATTTCTATAGGTGTGGGCTTACGAAGAAATTCCTGAAGTTGGTAACAACTTTGCAAAGAAAGTGGCTAATCATGAAGTGCCTTTGCTAAATTGGACTGCTGCACGCAAATTTCATTACTCAAAGCTTAGACGACTGGTCTTGCCAGAGGTACGTGTGTCTCATTCATTAACTTAATTTCAAATAGCCGTAATTTGAGTAATACTTTTTTCGTAGGAGGTGAAGGTTGATGATTCAGAGGAGGGAGAGGAAGAAGATGAAAGAATCCAGGAAGACGTTCGCATTTTTGAAAAACAAAGAATATTGAAAGAGATGCGGGACCTACGGCTGTGAAAGAGATGCGGGACCTACGACTGAGTATGTTATGTGTTGTGAAATTAGATTCTTGAAAAAGCATTTAATTGCATGGGTTGTGAACTCAGGTTGCCTTAATGATATGTGAACTAAGTATGAAGACTGTATTGTTTATGTGTTCAAATAAATGTTGGTGTGCATATAAATCTTTGTCTGTGTGTACTAAAATATGCCTGTGTGTAATGGGAATGTATGCAGGTGGAGGACGACAACCTACCTACATTAACAGCGCCCGCTCCATTTGAAAATTTGGAATGGGATGGACACGATGTTGGTAGTGCACCGGTAGATGTTGACGATGTTGAACTTTTGAGCGGGAAAGAAGTGAAAAAGAGAAAACGGTCTCGTTCAAAGTACCAATGCTCACCATATGTTGAACCGATTGTCTCAATTCTGCCTGCTCTGTTTCACCCAACTGTTGCAGATATTGCATCTCTGAAGGCTTGGATAGAAGAAGCTGACAATGTTGAACCGTCAATGGTTGTTCTGAATCTGCCATCATGTGATGAAGTGGACAGGGACTTTTTCCGTAAGCTTGTTGAACCAGACGAGACATTATGGTCCTATGTGAGTGCCTTATCTATTCCACAACTTTCTAAAGTTTTGTCATCAATATATATGTTTGACTTTATTATTTATTAGCATATGGATGCTCTTTCGTACCTGGTTCTAAAAGATTGTAAGTCGGAGAAGCCGTATAAGCTAATGAATCCTTACTTTACGGTATGTGTTGTTTATTTTAACCAAACTTACTTAATAATTTATGATTTGTTCGTAAATCATTAATTACATAATTGTTTATGTAATTAAAACGTTATGTTCGTGTAGCATCAAGTCTTGAGTAAGGATGATAAGGATGAGGATGTTTGGTTTGCTGATAGGTGTCTACCAAGTGTTGACTGGAGAGGGTTGGAAAAAGTAAGTGCTTAAAGTCTTCATTTAATTGTCTGTGTATTTATTTCATGAGTCAAATTTCATTATTTTCTTGCTTTTATTAGAGTAACAAAGTGACTGCTAATGTATTATTTATTTGTTATTGTGTTCAGGTGTTCGTACCGCTAAATGTTGTAGGTATGCATTGGGTTTTAGCGGAAATTGACCTTCAATCAAAAGTGGTGCGTGTGTATGACTCAATGAAAACAAGTAGGTCAAGGTTGCATGCCTCAAAGTTATGCGTGAGACTTCCGCTCCTCTTCCGAGTCATACAAGTCCACCCAGATGTGCGTGAGGCAAAGCAATGGAATGCTGAGGCAGTGGCAGATGTACCGCAACAGGAGGGAGGGTATGTGTTGAACAAGAACTTGTTTATGTGTTGTGTACATTTTTGTCTGTGATCACTTAATAATTGTTTATGTGTTGTGTACAATTTTGTCTGCGAGTACTTCATAATTGTTTTTTATGTCTGTGTTGCAGAACTGTTTGTGGACTCATGGTAATTTCTTATACGGAGGCACTGATGTTGGGACTACCCTTGAGCCCACATTGCGAGTATGCGAACGTGGCCAGAAAGAGATGGCACTTTGCCCTGCGACTTTGGAATTTGAGGAAGACAGTTTCTTAGACACATGCACTTTTCTATTTTTTGCTCACATCCAAATGTATAATTTTTTGCTCATGTAAAAACATTGGTACGGCCATGATGATGACGGTTCCCATGTAACAAACATTAAATACCTGTTTTGTATATTTTGGTAAGCTTTTGGAAAGAAATGTATGATAATGTACACTGTTGTACTGTAATCAACCTTGTACAGTATCCTACAAGGTTATTCCCAAGAGGGTTCAAATGAATCGTGTAACATTCGAACAAAATGACTGATGGTTTTTTCTTGATTTATAGCATTTCGGTATGGATTACGGGTTATGAAGTCTCAAGTGTTTCTAAATGCATGTGTATGTGAGTATATTATATTATTTATATACATTGGCCGCTGGGGTAATGCACATTTATTAATTTTTTGCAATTATAGATTTTGTTCAATATAGCATAGTACTTTACTAAATTAAGTAGTCTTGAATAATTTGAATATCAAAGTCAGTTAAAAACTTGTTCAATTAAAGCTTATAGTTCATAAAACATAATGTTCATATGTGCTTCTTTACAACCTTATGTTTGTGTCTATGAGTCAATTTTCTTGTTTGTGGCTGAACACCGATCTGACTATGAGGACATAATATTGTCTGTGACTAAAAACAGTGTGATTGATGATACAACAAAAACCAATACATCATAGTACATGTATTCACACCAAAGATAAATTTAAATCTAAACCATTAGAGTACAGCCTTGGCACATTAGTTGCAGTATTACTAGGGCCTTCACCATTACCATGTTGGATTGTTGTGGTTGTGGCTAGTGCATTATCCTTCTTAGCCCTTCCTTTCTTCTTCCCCTTTTCTAATGGACCCTTGGCCCGGTTTTTCCTTGGGGCTCCCTTTCGCTTCGTACATTTTGGATCTCCAATAGGTGGAAGTGGGACCTCGGAACGAATATTTGTTGTTGGGTCTTCAAGTGGCGTCATGTTGCCAACAATACAAGAATGGCTAACTGGAGGAGTATATGTGGTCAACTGGGTTTCCAACCAAAGGAGGACTTCATTGTATTTCGCCTCATCATCCGCAACCATGTTGGCAAGAGACTCAAAGGTCTTACATAACTTGTCAAAACGTTGTTGTTCAACCGTTGTAATCCACCCGTCATAATTTATTTTAACTCGTTGGTACGCCCTTTTCATGCCTTTCCTCCATCTACTCATTAGGTACACCTCGGGCAAGTGATGTATATCAAGCCGAACAAAGATCACAAGCAAGTGTCTACATATCATGCCCCTAAACTCAAACAAATGACAACTACATATTCCAAAACTAGTATTTGGGTCAAAGTCAATATGGAAGTTCACAATCTTCCTAAATCCATTAATATCCATATGCTCTTGTACGGTATATTTTCTACCGTCTTCACATAAAAGGATATCACAATAAAGCTTTCCTTCAAGTAATTCCCTTTGAAACTCCGCGAACTTAGAAAGGGTGTAAATTTGTTGCACTTGTTTTTCCATTGGATATCTAGTCACACATGGAATCATTTTGGTAAATGAGCTAGTATCTGCTTGAAATTCTTTTTCCACCTTATCACGCAAAGCACATCCGTATTGTTCAACAAATTGTTTTAGAGTGGTTTTGGAATTGACAAACTTATCGAAAAAAGCGTTGATGCTCTCACTTCGTTGAGTTGTGGACATGCCGGCCCAAAATGTTGGCTTTAAATAACACGGTACCCACCGCGTTCTTTCATTGTACATCACCCGAAGCCAATCATGCTCTTCAAGTGCAAACATGAACACATTTAAAGTGCACAAAGTCAGTTTGTAAATAAATCACAAACAACTTATTCTCTGCCCACAAACACATTGTGTCCGTGACGTACAAACTTTATCGTCTATGATAAATACACCTGTCTATGAGGCAGAGAAATAGTTACTGTCAGAAGAAGAAAAAAACTTACAAATTCATCATACCTTTGAACCATGTCAAGCCATTTCTCCTCAAACTCTTGGGTATATTGTGAATCATAAATGCAGTCATGTATAACATTCAATATTTCATCTTTGTGTGCATCCCCTCCGAGTTTTTCGGGTACCTTTTTCATTATGTGCCATAAACACCATCGGTGCTTGGAATTTGGGAATACAATTGCAATGGCATTTTGCATAGCACGGTCTTGGTCGGTAATAATCCCCATTGGAGCAATTCCATCCATACATTCAAGCCATGCTTTAAACAACCACACAAAGGTTTGTGTATCTTCGTTAGAGACTAATCCACATCCCATTAGCAATGATTGCCCGTGATGATTTACCCCGACAAATGGTGCAAAAGGCATGTCATACCTATTCGTAAGATAGGTCGTGTCAAATGTTATGACATCTCCAAATTCTTTGTACGCATATCTAGACCTATTATCGGCCCAAAATACATTACGCAATCTTGACTCCTCATCTAAGTCAATTACAAAGAAAAATCCGGGACATTGGTCTTGCATTTTAGCAAAGAAACCTTGAATGGCAATTGCATCGCCACTACCTAGCCTAAGTTGTCTCACTTTATCTATATAGTTCCTACAATCTTTTTCAATGAAGGGAAGTTGATCATATCCGCCGGCTTCAACAACGGCCGCGGTGAAGCTTTTATTAAGTCGTATTCCCGCAGCTTCATTTATTGCAAGTTTCCTCGCCATTCCATGAGTCATCCTCCTATGGCACCGGAATAGTCTGGCCTTTGTTGGACTCATAGGATGTGAATGTTGTAGACACACTTTTGAAATTTGCCAAAGTCCCGAATAAATAACGTGCGCACGTAGTCTAGCTCCACACCCTATTTGCATTGAAGGTTGGGGCTTCAATTGATTTTTTGACTGACTACCTCTATGACCAGCCCGCGAACACTCCAGTACAACTGACACAATCTCTCTTCCTCTTTTGTCTTTTGTTGTGCTCCTAGTTCTTATAGGAAATCCCAAACGCTTCCCATATGCTTTGTAAAAATCATAGATCGCTTCTCTGCTTTCAAACTCCATACCAACTTCCGGCTCTGTACCAAGTTCACTCTCCTTTGCCATCCCTTCTCCATCTGTTATGGTAAATTGCTCATTTATTGATGCATTTGAACACACTTAAACTTACACACAGACAGTGATATATGCACACACAGACAATTCCAAACTTTAACATACATGTTGAATACTACACAAGCAAACAAGTCTTCCACTGTCTACATACAAAAACAAACACACACATAAACAAGTGACACCTCCTACAACTTGCATGTGTCACCAAACGTTTGCATGCGTTTAAAACAATTTAGTACACAGACAGTGATATATGCACAAACACAGACAATTCTAAAGCTTCACAGACACGTTGAATACTACTAAGGGGTAAGCACAGACAATTCAAAAGTTTCACATGATGTATGATTTTTGAAGAAACATATGCATCAGTTGATACCAACTTAGGGGTACACAGACACATTATGTATCCACCACTATTTAGGTACACAAACAATTAAACACATAAACACATAAGAACATGTCTGTGAGAAGAAAGCTATTTTAATCTTCATTAAACTACTACAAACATGAGATGAAGTCCTACCGAGGTCAGAAACAACGTCCATAGCCGCCGGCGACGTCTGTCCTTCATCCTCTCCGCCCAGGTGCGTCTCAACGTCACCTTCTCCACCTCCGCCACTGTGTCCATCAACTTCTCCACCTCCGGCCTTCTGTCCAGAGCCTTCTCCGCCTCCGCAAGTCATGTCGTCACCTTCAATTAATCCGGCCGTCTGTCCGTCGGTTTCTCCAGCTCCGCCGGCGTGTCCTGCTTCTCCACCTCCGGGAACAACATTCAACAAAGCCCAAAACTCAGGGTCGTTTCTCACCATGCTCTCATCCATGTAAAAATCCATGGTGGAGGAAGTAAAATCCAGAAATTATCTTTGCTTTTGGTGCTTATGATCGTCGAAGGAAGAAGAGAGGAGGGGCGGGTGTTTTGATTTTCAAGAAGGGGGGGGGGGGGGAGCGAGGGAGTTACGCGAGTGAGGTGAGGGGGAAAAGGGGAGGAGGGGAAAAGTGGGGGTAATTTTTTTTGGGGCTTTTATAGTGTGTATAGGGTGGGTGCAATTGTGTGTACAAAGAGCAAAATTGTTTCACGAATGACCAACCACGCCAAAAATTTTTACATGCTGACCGTATAGGCGGGCCAGCAAGGAGGACTGACCAGGCCCATGCGGCTACTGTAGCTAGGGATAATGCTCCAGGAGACCTACCTGCTGAGATGTCTGTAAGTGCAGGAGCTGCATTATCTTCTTCCAAAAATCCTGCCACTGCTTTGAATCATTTGCTGGGCCATGCTCATGTGGACCACGCTGGAAACTCCAGCTCTTCCACGTCTCACGTAGATGACATTAGTCATCTTCCCAATTTATCATATAATCAATGGCAATCCCTCGTCACAGCATTTGGTAGTCCTAAATCCTCATCTCAACGTCTTTCTGGTAAGTTTGACTCAACTTCATGGATTATTGATACGGGAGCATCTAATCATGTTACTGGAAATTTATCATGTCTATCCCATATTTGTGAAATACCGGAGCGTACTATTGGTCTACCTAATGGTCAACAAGCTATTTCATGCAAAGCAGGACGTCTTTACCTATCAAACAATATATGCTTAGAAAATGTTCTATTTGTTCCACAGTTGACCTGCAATTTACTCTCGGTATCACAACTTATTGATGACAAGAAATGTTATGTTAATTTTTTCTCTGACTTTTGTGTTATACAGGACCTGCAATCGAAGAAAGTGACTGGGCTGGGTAAACGACGGGATGGACTTTACTATTTTCATACAACTAATTTCACACCTACCTCCTCAGAAATAAATAATGTCACTATTCCTATAAATATTTGGCATCAACGTTTAGGGCATCCTTCCGAAAATATTGTTCAAAGGTTATTTCCTACACATTTGCCAAAGCAGTATTTGTCTGGTCCTTCTGAAATATGTCATAAGGCAAAACAATCTAGGAACTCTTTTCCTTTGAGCACTAATAAGACTACCAGAATATTTGAACTTGTCCATTGTGATGTTTGGGGGCCATACAATACACTTTCTTCTTGTGGTGCTAAAAGCTTCTTGACAATAGTGGATGATTATTCGCGTGTTGTTTGGGTTTATTTGTTGATTGATAAAACAGGTGTTTATGATATGTTTATGTCATTCATAGCCATGATTGATCGTCAATTTTCGAGCAAAATTTCAACTGTTCGTAGTGACAATGGCACAGAATTTAATTGTTTGAAAAATTATTTTCTTACTAATGGCATAATTTTTCATACATCTTGTGTGGGTACACCCCAACAAAATGGCCGTGTAGAAAGAAAACACCGTCACATTCTTAATGTTGCCCGGGCATTACGATTTCAAGGATCCTTACCTTTATCTTTTTGGGGCGAATGTGTTCTTACTGCCGCTCATTTAATAAACCGTACACCTTCAGCCTTGCTTGACCATAAAACACCTTATGAAATTCTATTCGGTGTTTTGCCCGATTATACCACTTTGCGTGTTTTTGGGTGTCTTTGTTTTGCTCATAACCAAAAAGCGAAAGGCGATAAATTTGCTAGTCGTAGTCGAAAATGCATTTTTATTGGTTATCCTTTTGGAAAAAAAGGGTGGAATTTGTTTGATCTTGAAACCAATGAATATTTTACTTCTCGTGATGTTAAATTTTTTGAACAACACTTCCCATTTGACACAACCAATGACCCATCTTTGGCCACTACATCACCCACGTTGGACCCCTCTCTCACATCACAAGAGGACAATTTTGATTATGATACCTATTTTCCTATTCATTCAAGTGCTCACCCAAACTCCGGAACTTCATCAATTGATCAACCTTTGGGGCCCCTGCCAAATAATTCCCCACCAACTGATAGCTTGACAACCTTATCTGATAATTCCGAATCCATGCAACTCTTGGGACGTGGAATGCGTAAAAAAATTCCCTCAATCAAACTCAAAGATTATACCACCCATACCGTGATTAGTAATAATTCATCCCCTGTGCTACCCTCTTCGTCCCTTTCTTCAGGTACGCAATTTCCTATAGCACATTATGTTAGTTGTGAAAAATTTTCTAACAATCACCGCTCATTCCTAGCGGCCATTTCATCGAGACATGAACCGAAAAATTTTCGTGAAGCTATTACTGATCCGGGTTGGTGTGACGCAATGCGATCAGAAATCAAGGCTCTTGAAGATAATCAAACATGGACTTTGCAAAAACTTCCATCAGGAAAACGCGCTTTGGGATGTCGTTGGGTCTATAAAATTAAATATCACTCTGATGGAAAAATTGAACGTCTCAAAGCCCGATTGGTTATTTTTGGTAACCGTCAAGTAGCTGGTTTGGATTATAATGAAACTTTTGCTCCAGTTGCTAAAATGGTCACAGTTCGTGCTTTTTTAGCTATTGCAGTCTCAAAAAATTGGGAACTTCATCAAATGGATGTCCATAATGCTTTTTTGCATGGTGACCTTAAAGAAGAGGTTTACATGACTCTTCCTCCTGGTTTTCAAACCGCAGATTCTGAACAGGTTTGTCGACTCCGTAAGTCTTTGTATGGACTCAAACAGGCCCCACGATGTTGGTTTGCCAAGTTAGTGGAAGCTTTAAAGGGGTATGGCTTTACCCAATCCTATGCTGATTATTCACTCTTTACTCGAACTAGTCATCAGATACAATTAAATGTTCTCATTTATGTTGATGACTTGTTAATTTCTGGCAATGATTCTGCTGCTGTTCAAGATTTTAAGGACTATTTGTGCTCTTGTTTTCATATGAAAGATTTGGGATCCTTAAAATATTTTTTAGGGATTGAGGTAGCTCGTAGTCCGACTGGCCTATTTCTCACACAACGGAAATATATTTTAGATATTATTTCTGAGACAGGTCTATTAGGGGCAAAACCAGCATTGTTCCCTATTGAGCAAAATCATTCATTGTCCACTGCATCTGGTCCATTACTTCCAAATCCAGAACCTTATAGGCGCCTTTTAGGACGCCTTATTTATTTAGCGGTAACTCGTCCGGATTTGACATACTCTGTGCATATTTTATCACAATTTATGCAAACACCGAAACAGGAGCATTGGGATGCTGCTTTACGAGTCATCCGTTATTTGAAGGGTTCTCCAGGCCAGGGCATCCTTTTGCGAGCTGATAATCCGCTTACTCTAAAGGGATGGTGTGACTCTGATTGGGCATCATGTCCTATCACTCGACGTTCTTTGTCTGGCTGGATTGTGTTTCTCGGTCATTCTCCAATTTCTTGGAAAACCAAGAAACAACAGACTGTCTCTCGTTCCTCTGCGGAGGCTGAGTACCGTTCTATGGTTGCGGCCACATGTGAACTAAAATGGTTGAAAGCTTTACTTCTTAGCTTGGGTATTCACCATCCTGAGGCAATACCTCTATTTTGTGACAGTCAGTCTGCTATACATATTGCTCACAACCCGGTATTTCATGAACGAACCAAACATATTGAGGTTGATTGTCATTTCGTGCGAGATGCTATCAAAGATGGTGTGATTTCTCCCTCCTATGTGCCCACTACTTTTCAACTAGCAGATATTTTTACTAAAGCATTGGGCAAGACACAATTTCATTTTCTGCTTCACAAGTTGGGTATTCTGAACCCTCATGCTCCAACTTGAGGGAGGGTATTAGAGTTATTATTATTATTATTATTATTATTATTATTATTATATTATGTTGTATTATTTAGACACTCTTTCGTATATCTTTTCTTTTGACAGACATGGCTGCATTATTAGTAGCTATTAAGTCTTTGTCTACTGTGTATTTGTCAAAATGTAAGCTAGTAGGACCCTTTCATTATTGTCCATGTACTATGCATTGTAATATATAGTTGGCTCTTTGAGCCCGTGAAAATATACGAACTCATTGTGTCATATGACGAATGATATACTTCCGCATATTTTTATATTTTAACACATTACTTCATGATGTTGCAGTACTTGATGTCTCAACACATGAATACAGTTTAGGAATGTTGCCCTCCTCTCTGTATACTAGTAGGACACTAGTGGAACTGAAGTTGTACGGAAGGTTTGACATGAAGTTTCCAGAACCTGTCCAGTTGCCATATCTCAAGTCCATGCAACTTTTTAATGTTGAATTTTCTGACCCTTACTCCCTCAATAGGCTGATGGCAGGGTGCCCTCTGCTTGAGGATCTTGTTGTTGGAGGATATTGGGAAGATGTTGAAGATATTAGCATTTCCTCGGCAAGGCTGACTAGTTTGACTATGGATTTTAGTGATAGTTTTGGCTCATTGCACCACAGATCTAGTGTGGTGCTTGACCTTCCAAATTTGGTGCATTTTAAATATTTCGATAGGTTGGCCAGGAGCTACTCTCTCATGAATCTGAACTCACTTGAGGAAGCTCGCATTGAAGTTTTATTGGACATGGATAACCCTGTGTGGTCGGCTTCTTGTAGTGCTGTTCTTGGCCTCTTATATGGAGTTTCAAATGCCAAGCATCTATTTATTTGTGGCAAATGCCTGGAGGTAGCTCTTTGAACTCTTTATAACATTCAAGTTGTGTTTTGTCCCTTTCCATTCAGAATATGGTTATGTATGCTCACACCATTTGCTATATAAAAGCCCGTTCTTGTCTGGTATCTAGTGAAGCTAAACTTTTTCCTTGTTTGGTCATGTTTCTGGGAGGGTCTTGACACTGATGAATATACGTTGCCAACATTCTGTAATTTGCGACGATTGGAGTTTGGCTGGAGCAAATATTTAATATGGAGACATGTGTTGTGTCAGTTCCTCGATAGTGCACCCATGCTTGAGGATCTAAATTTCTCAGAGGTTAGGGGACTTCTTCTCTTGGACTTATTTCAATATTGAATGCTTAAATAGACTGAAACATACCAGACCAACATTAAATAATACGGAGTAATAAACTCTCACATAACATCATACTATAACATATCATAGCAAACTTGTGCAGACCATATCACAAAATTCTAGTCCAAATGGGCAGGTTTTGAGTCGAAATAATAACAAATTTGTATGAGTAATTTTTTTATTTGGCCTCCATAATTTTGGCGATTCCTGTAGGGTCTTTTTCATCGTAAAAGCGATTCTGATGAGTACAGTGACAAGAACTTTTGGGCTAGACAACGGAAAACGCCTGATTGTCTCTCTTCTCATGTCAAGACCATTATGATAGACTCTTTTCATGGTTTTGGGGAAGAAGTGAAGATCGCAAGGTATCTTCTCAGACACGGTAAGGTTTTGGAGAAGCTAATATTGGATTATGACATCCAATCAAGTGAGGACGAGCGAGAACTAAAGAAACTACTCAAGGCCAAAAGGGCCTCCAAAGAATGTATAATTGAGTTGCTGTTTTGATGTTCAGCGATACATCCCACGATGCTCATTTGTGGTGTTTTTATTTATTTTTTGTCAGTAGCATTATCTTTTACTTTGGTAATCAATGCAAGCGAATTGGACCTCTGCTGATGATTTTAATGGATTGACATGGAATTATCTTTACTCTGCTAACCCTTCTGCTATTATTGCTAATTTGCTGCTGCTGTTAATTTACAAAACGAATACAGGTAGTAGTTGATGTAGAATTAGTTCAAGTTTGAGAGGTGCATGATGTACATACACTAAATTAGAGTAGTCTTCCGGTCAGGTATACCTGACCGGAGCCCCGTCCGGCCTCCTCCATTTGGGGGCCTTCCCGATGGTATTTTTTGCTCAAATGTTTTGTGTAGGTTCCTCATCAAGTCTAGTTCATCCATACCAAATTTCAGCCAAAAATTCAATCGGGAAGGTCGTCAAATGATTTTTGCAAGTTAACTGGTCCGGAAAATACATATTCCGGACCAGTTAACTTGAAAAAATCATTTGACGACCTTCCCGATTGAATTTTTGGCTGAAATTTGGTATGGATGAACTAGACTTGATGAGGAACCTACACAAAATATTTGAGCAAAAAATACCATCGGGAAGGCCCCCAAATGGAGGAGGCCGGACGGGGGCAGTGGTCCGGCCTGGCCGGACCTGAATTATTCTCCACTAAATTATACTACCAAACATAGGCTGTGCATACACAAGTTGGGGGCCATGCTAAACAAAACAAGTTAGGATTTAAGGTGCCAGGTGGGAGATCCTTTATTCCTTTAGTGCTAGTTGAGACTAATTAACATAAAGTAGGCCAAATGGGAGGTGGTAGATCCCATGTCCCGATCAGCTTTTGGTTAAGACTTAAGACGGTACTTGAGTAATAATGTAGAGAAAACGTTGCCAAGGTCGAATCAAGCGATTCTTGGTAGGTAATTTATGGTCAATCGTATTGAAATCTAGAACTTTATGAGGGTTCAAGTTGTTTACTTCTTTAGGCTCATGAAGTTTTTTTACTTTTACTTCATGATGTTTTAGTTTAGCAGATGACTCATGATCATGTTAATACCCATATTACGAACACCAAATTTAGGATCAGCCAATGACTTTACTAGCACGTTATTTGCTCATTGGAGACTTATTCAAAAGTCTCACATCCCGTGATGGATTGAGGGGGGCGTCTGGGCGGCCACCCTTCTTGGAACTTAATATTACGTATAATTTTCATATTTTAAATAAATATATACGAGTTTGCCACTCAATTTTTCATTTTCAAAATTAATTCATATTGTTACTTAATAAGAGCTGTAAAAGGAGAAAAACTTAAAATAATTTATCTTGATGAACTATTTTAATTAAGTTTAGATTTTCTTCTTCTTCAACATTATAATGTTATCAGTTCTTGACTTTGACAAATAAATACTCCGTAATAGAAAACTGATATAAGACTTATGATACCAATTGATTTGACACCCTTTTGTTATTGTATAAGTACTAATTTCTACACGCGCGATGCGCGATCAAGTAAGTGCCCAATACAAGCCCGTTTGGTAGCATGAAAATCGGCTGTTTTGGCTGATTCCGCTGAAATTTATGAAGTTCTGGCTGAAGTGGCTGCATTGGCTGATTTTACTGATTTAAGAAAAAATTATTTTTAAAATATATTTTGTTAATAAAATAAAGAAAAAGTTATATGTAAAAATAGCTAAAATGGTCATCTACACTAACTTCAGCCAATACAGCCAGAAAAGTAACTCCAACCTTACTTTTTCTGCTTATTACACAATTCATCACGCGAAATTAAAAGTTATGTGTTTGGTGAAAAAGTTGACTGATAAGCTTGATAAGCTGAAAAACAGTGTTGTCAAACGTTCTCTACATTTATTAATGGAAAATATCCATATTAGTACAAATTGACATTTTTTGACGGTACATATGTACAAAGCTCCCCTTCCCCATCTAACCCAACCAAACGTAATGTTCATCAACTTCTCTCATATTCCCGCTAAAGCTCTTCAATCAAACACGGGCTTAGCCGCTTAGGAAAAAACCAGGGCATACCAGTATCACAAGCAAACATTTTGAACAAAAACAACACAATTTGAAGTGTAACTTTTTTTTTTCAAGAAACCACAAAGGATCTAACAAAGCAGTTGAGTTTGTTCAACGGTACAATGGAGCATACAACCCATTAGTTGTTGAGAACAAATGTACTTTCATCTGGAACACATGCAATTAAAATAAATTAGAAGAAAAACGTCAAAAAGGGTTCAATATCTTACTTCCTACAAGGATGAAACCTTCTTGCTCCAGCACCACTGTTTCCATATTCTCCTCCCCTGCCACCAGGGATGGATTTAGGGGGGGGGCGCGGGGGGGCGACCGCCCCCCTTGGACTTTCAAAATTTTCTACCATATATGTAATATTTTCATCTAACTTTCATAATTTGATTAGATTCGCCCCCCTTAGCTTTTAATTTTCAAAAGTAATATATAGTGTTGCATAATGTAATACTTAATTGAAGATTTAAAAGAAGGAACATCTAAAATAATTACATAACTTAAACAAATAAACAATACAATAACTCGTTCTTTAAGATTTAGGATACTTATTATATAAGAATTCCTAGTTTTGTAATGTTTAATTATTTTTATTAGATAACAAGTACTTGATTTTGTAAAATATATATCAAACAATACTAAATATCAGACACACTAATTACACAGTTTTTAGATCACGTGAAATGAATCCAAAATATAAATGTTTATTGACATTAAATTACATAATTCATTTACTTCTTGCTTTCTAAAAATAATTTATTGCATAGATAATAAACTTTAAATTATTATAGCATTAATACAAATATTAAAATATAATATGCACAATATATGTGTGTGTGTGTCGTCCATACTATTCTAAAAATAATATTATCATACATACTACTATTGTAATATTAAGAAAACTTCTCATGAGTCATGACTCACGGACACCCTCCTTGATGGCCGGACAAAAATTACAATTCAATAATAATCGATTCATGAGGTTAAACAATGTAGAAGTTATTAAAAATGTATTGGTTGATGTCTTTGTCATCGTCTAATTTAAACTTAGAATGTACAACTTAATAGATTTAAATGTCGTTGGGGATGTGTATGTATTAATGTTATTTTTTGAATAAAATTAGCCGCATAGTCCTACAGTAGCGGAAAAAAATCGCCCCGCTACACTAGGGGAAAAAATTTCGCCCCACTACACTAACGAAATTTTTTTCACCCTCTACACTACCGAAAAATTTCGCCCCCTTGAATAGAAATCCTGGATCCGTCCCTGCCTGCCACTTCCAAAACTGTCGTCACTACCAATGCCATATCCCTTACCACTACCATCGACATACCCACTACAGCCAGGATAACTACCAGAAGTCTCATAAAGGTTCCCTCCATATCCCATAACACCATACACAGCCCCCACCAAATCCAAACCCGTACCCATATCCTCCACATGCAATATACATTCCTGCAGAGTTGCATATGAATCTACTCTTACCTCTACTGCACCATCTTTTGAGCAACTGCTAAGTACTTGTATACTTACAGAGAAAACTTAATTAGTTTTTCATTGCAATCGCTTCATTTTTCCAACGACCATAGTGTGTTTAGACAAAAATGTTAATCGATTTTGGAATGCTTTAGAACCAAAATAGTGTGGCTGCATTAGATACTAATTAACACTTTTATGAGTGTAAGCTTGAAGGATGATGTCCACTTTTCCATTATTTGTGATAAAAACAACAATATTAAAATGTTTATAAGGATTTATTTACTATAACTTTAGTGGTGCTATATAACTTCTAATAATTAGTGTCACGTGATAAAACTCAATAGAAGAAGAACCCTTAACTCATGTTCACAACAAATCCATATAAGGAATGATTGCCCTTCAGCCTCCCTGTATTCAAGCGTTTATATGCATAAGTTAACTACCTCACTGCTAGATTATTGCATCCCTCCATAATTTTAATCACCTATTCATGTTTATATGCATGTTTAGAATAAAGCTTTATTTGATAAAGTTTCAATGTTTTGGGCCATGTAGTGAGCAGCAGCATTAGCTTCTCTGTAATAGTGACTACAAGTCACCCTTTCAAAATCAACAAGACTCTGTAACAGTGACTATTAAACATGTTTAATTTATGATGCCACCTTTACATGTAATCTACATAATTAGTGATTAAAACAAATGAAAACTGTAACATCACATAGGCTAACACTAACGGTCTGTTCTGATTAAAAAATCAGAAATTCAGAAATCTGAATCATAATCTATCATCAATTTAATTAGAATTTTAGTTAACCAGGAAATACTGAAACCGCTAAAGTGCCGATGAAGGGATAAACAATAATCACTAATCAATATTGCTGATTGCATTAATCAAACATTCACACAGAAATGTCAATATGATGGAGGGAATACTATGACACATTATATGGAAGAGCATGAGCTCCTGGGACACCAAAAAATGGTTTTCATTCGGCCTGGATTATGGCCATACGTCCATTTTTTGATGATACCATTCCATGATTATCAATTTATTCCTCTCTGATAATCATGGTTGATTTTCATCATCCTAATAGATGAAATCAATTTCAATTTCAAGGTATTGAATGCAACAACAATATGACACGTTATATGGAAGAGCATGAGCGACATTAAGTAGGAAGAAGAGAAACGGACATCTACCTGAGAGCTTAGCGTCCAAAGACGGAATCCATGAAAGCATCCGTGAGATTAGGGCGGGGTTCGGAGCAGCTAGTTGGGCGGTCGGAGAGCTAGAGATAGAGAAGACAAACGATCTAAGACGGAGGCAAATAAATCGATGGAAGGTGTGCAGTGTACAACTCGGGTATAGAGTGACGGAAATAAACGATCTAAAAGACGGATATAAAACGGAAAAGTTTAAGCCCCTTTAAAATAGTATACACGGTAAAACAGAGTGTACAACTCAAGTAAGCTACATGATTACACCAACATTTTTTTCATCCCTTAAATGCTCCAACCCTCATTGGCTATTAGTGATGGCAACGGGGCGGATCGGGGACGGGTACACATAAAACCGAAACCGCCCCGTTGGATAAATGTTTGCACCAAAACCGCCCCATTACCCGTTCGGGTAATTTTTATTTGAACCGT